ACTCTTTCCAGAGTACAGTATCCAGGAAGGCCCCTCTTTCTTTTTAAGAAAGACATAGTCTTTCATGTCTTTCAAAATCCATGTGCAATTTCATACTTTCTAGAAAGGGGCATTCTGGATTCATCCAAGAGTAAAAACAGAATCATAGCCACCTCAAAAATGAAGATGCATTACAATAATCTACACTTAAGCAATACTAAATGTAGAGGTCAAATGTTGGATAAGCATTTAAAACAAGTCTTCTACAGACTTTCTGATGAAGAAAGAACTCCACTTTTAATTTCCTGTAAAACAATATCATAGTCAATCACTCAAGCTACACAATACTTTTGACTTTGGTCTCATTTTGACACTTTTTGTACTGTATTATCCCAACTGCATGTATGCCTGTGATCCAAATCAGTACAAAAACAACATCCTTTTGAAATACTGAACACACATTCATATTTCAAAGGAAAAAAAGGAAATCTCATAGTTACCATACAGGCTGAGAAAGATTCAACAATTCTAATTCAAACTTTGTAGCAAAAAAATCTGGAAGTTTAATTTAACTTTGCCAAAACATCTAATGTTAAGTCTTTACTTAACTAAGGTGTCAACCACTAGTAGAATGGCGTGTCAATATTCAATATTTACCACCTTATCCAGAAACTATTTCCCTGATCTTGCAAGTATGGCTGTGTTTAATTCTAAACATATATGGCAATTTCACTGAAGTCATTATAACTATATGCCTGCTTAAAAATAAGCATATACATTTTCAAAATTGGAACCAATGAATAATGTGTGTCCACATCTGTTATTTCCTTTTAAAAATTAATATATTTATAAAATATCTTCATAGTGGGGATAATCGTGACCTTTTTACAGATAATAAGAGGCCAGGGTAATGAACAGCTTGATATTTGATAACATGGGATTAGATTTTATTTTAACATTCCATTGAAATAAAGTAAGATTCCTGGAACATAAGTTATCACACATTTTTGTCCACTATTACTTTAATTTATACAATTTATTGAATGGTTAAAATCTATCACTGTTTTCTAAATTAAAAATCATCATTTACTGCAAATATTTGAAGAATCAGAACAGGTGTCTGCAGAATCTTTCAGTGCTTGTCTATATTTTAAAGCCATGTAAAAGCAGAAAATATTAAATACTGTAATCTACAGCAAACACTACTATTCTGCATGTCTGTGATTTACAGGTATTAATTGAACTTCAAAATATTTGTGATATAGGTATCTACATCTTGCTTCTCTGTAAAAGGGGCAGCAGGCAGTTTAAGCGACTTGCCAAAGGTCACAAATCAAATCTGTTGCAGTCAAAAATTTAATTTACAAGTCCTTATGTCCACTTCTTTGCTTTAAAAGATCATTATAAGTCCTCCCTGTCAATCTGCATGCACATTCAGATCAAAAGAGTATTTAGGTACTATCTTCTAAAATAAGGAAAGAAACATCATCTTTTGGAGAAAGCAGCTACATAGTAAATCTGTAATCTCTTTCCAACTCTACCAGCAACTATTGTAGTGACTTTGGTGCAAAACATGAGCAGTATAAAGCTTATAGGCTTCCCTTTCTGGTTTGTAAAATGAAGACAAAACAGATTCAAAACATATACAATGACATTTATTGAGGAATACTCACGTAGAGGAAAACCCCATTCAGATAGCCAAGTTTGGTATAAGTAGATCCATGTAAACTAGTTCAGGGCGACCATGGTACCTTCTTAAGAGGTGTGTGGGAACAATTCATCAATGTGATTGTCAAAAGCTTATAAAGTATTATTAATATACAGCAAAGTTAATCACCAAAGAATGATTTCTTCCATACTTTTATTGTCACAACATTCACTTTTAACATACTCTTTGCAGAAAAAGGTACTTTTTTAATAATGGAAAGATAATTGTTTTATTTGAAAGAATAATTCATATTTCAGAAAAAAACCTAGAGTGAATTCTCTTAGTAGACACTGAAAATATTGAAGCAGGTGAGTAATTTTACACCAAAAATTTTTGCTACACAAGCCAAAGTGCAAATGGCATCTCTTATTCAATTCATATGAATATTCATTTAAAGTGTGGATCACCATGTGATAATATGCTAGAGAAAAATATGTAAAAGTACAGTAGCACATGGAAACCAAATTGTGAAATACCATGTTAGTATTACTGTATGACTGCTTTTTGAACATACATAAATTGATCATATGCTTACAGATGCTTATAATTTATGTTTTTCAAAGTTTAGTTATCTTCTGAATAATCCACATGAGAGCACTGATAGGCTCAGAAGAGAGATTTGTATGTCAACGTGCTCACCTATCAATATAGCTATCTAGTACTGTTTAAAATAGAGACATAATTTCCCCTCCCACAACTGCTCCTTCCAGTAAAACCAAAATACTTTGGCCAAGCTTAGCTAATTTAAAACAAAACCCCAAGAGTTAAGACCATAATGTACCATGTATTTTCTTCTCAAATAATTGTCCATGAACAATGTTTCAAACTGCTGTAGACCACTGATGGATTCGTTTCTTCAGTACAGGGCACTCTACTTCAAAAGGAGTCAGTTCAGTTCCCCCTGAATTCAGGAGAATTGTGACATTAATTTCAGTGGGAGTTAGACTGGGCTCAAAGTGTATGTGTCCTGGGTTACTATAGATGCCATGACAAGTACTCATTTTGATTGAGTAGCGTAGTAATGCTCATGTAAAACTAAATAGTCAGATAGATTGTAAAACTAGACTCTTGATAGCTTTAACTTATGAACCTTTTCCTTAACCACATTTTTCAATTTTTTCTCTAATTTACAAATGTATTTTACATGTTAGTGTAGGCCACACTTCATTGTCATTTCATTCAGCACTACTGCTTTGTGTAGGTCATTCATTCGAAAGGATTACAGTGATAGGGGGACTGTTACATTACTCACAATTATTTTATATGTATTTTATTTGGAAAATCCTACATAACCTATTCAGAACACAGGTTAAATCCTGCCTTGACCAGTGAATACAAATGAAGTTAAAATATTTTTCAGTTTACCCTGGGCTGCACAAATCCTGCCAGCTGTGCCAGATTCAATGAGGAGGGCTGAGCAGAGGCAAAGGGGATTGATGAATTGTTGAATGTGTTTTGCTGCTCCACTGAGCAGGGGTAACAGACACCCTGATTGATGCTCACTGATGAAAGCAGAAGAAGAGCATTAGCTGGATAACACCCTCCTAATCTGCAAAGCACGTCCACTAGGTGATGTACATACTGTGAGCTAACACGTTACCTGCCTGTCTCTTTATTCGTATTATTATTTGCTATTTGCTTCTAGCAGTTTGGAAATGCATTAGGCACATTCCAAACATAAGCTAACATGCTATCTACCCCTAGGGCTAGGGACAGACATTACACATAAACCAGTTTAAGTGATTAGAAACTGGTTTAAACCTGTAACAGAACAGAGATTCAGTGCACATAAATCAGTTTCAAAATGGACAAAACCGGTTTGAGATACAAACCTTTGTGAGTGTGGACCTGCAGGCCCTAGGGCTAGGGACAGACATTACACATAAACCAGTTTAAGTGATTAGAAACTGGTTTAAACCTGTAACAGAACAGAGATTCAGTGCACATAAATCAGTTTCAAAATGGACAAAACCGGTTTGAGATACAAACCTTTGTGAGTGTGGACCTGCAGGCACTCTGTGCTCCCACTGCCCCTCTGGGGGAAGGAGGAGGAGGAGGAAAAGTTCCCCCACCATGGAACGGAGCCTCCCCCTGCCCAGGTGGGGAGGAGTATGGATGACTGCTGCCACCTTAGATGGGGGGGGAGGGGAAGTGCCCCCCGACCTGCAGGCACTCTGTGCTCCCACTGCCCCTCTGGGGGAAGGAGGAGGAGGAGGAAAAGTTCCCCCACTTGCAAACCAGTTCACTATCTGCAGGTTAGATTAACCTGCAAAGACTGAATTGATTCAGGCTCAGGCTTTTTGAATGTCTGTCCCTAGCCTAGGAGTTTACAAGCTCCACTGATGTGCATATCCACACTCTCTTTCCTTCTTGCACACAAGGGAAGGTAGTAGACTTGTGAGTTTGTGTAGTGATTTTTTCTGAGTTATGTATTAAGTAGAATGTCTATCCAAGGACATGTTTGCATTCCTTTTAGCATCATAGCAATATTAATACTTTTATACAACACCTTTAATATGAAAGATTTCAAACATTTTGTGGACTATGTATTCACTACATATTATAGTGAAAACCCTCAAATGATAACAAATACATCACACAGTAATGGGGGTTGGACTATTTTGGTTATGATCACATAGACATATCTTAATTATTGCTAAACATGCTCTGTGCATGATGGTATGATGCCATTATTCATTTATTTTTGCAAATAAGGCTTTTTTTTATTTATAAACCTTTTAAAGGAGGAAACAGCCTACTGATTAAACAAGATAATGTAATGCAATATAAGAGAGAAAAATTGTTATGAAAACTTACCCTTCACAGGGAAGAAAAAAAGTCCTTCCTGATTTAATCCATTCTGATATGTTTTATTTGTATATACTCAGCACAATACAAATATTTTTCTACATTATTAAAAAACAAAATTAGTGGATCATAATGTAACATTGGAAAGTAACTTCTCTTCAGACAAATGTAAAAACATCAATATGGAAATAATAAATTTGGTTTCCATCAATGTCAAAGAACAGGAAACATTTTGCTGTTGAGGTTCCTGGAAGCAATAAGTACTGTATTAACTGCCACATAACACACGCACACTTGCACAGGATACCTCTCCTAACAAGGGGAAACCGTTGCCCTGACACACAACATGCATACAGTTCCTTAACTTCCCACCTGCTGGGCAGCCACCTGCAATAAACAATAGTGGCCTATTATCAGATAGTAATAAAATAAGCGGTCACAAAGCT